CAGCACCAATTTATGTATAGTTTTGAAGTAGGGGGAAGCCTGGATGCTCGCTTGATCAGGAAATCACATCTTTCACATTGCGAAGTTGTTTGCATGTTTGGAAGTTAGTCCGCTATAAGCCTGGCAGATGAATTGTCTTGAAAAAGTCGAAGATTTAGGCGCCAGTGAGACTGACGCCAGAATGGTTGGTTTTCTTTGAAATGGCCAATTTGATGGAGCACTGTACTGAGGATTCCCACCCCATCCCGCACCGGCTGTGCTGTCTGTGTTTACAGTTTAGGGATGAAACAGACTGGACAACAGCTAAAGCACATACAGGCTCGCTTATCTGGGTATCTAAATTAGCACTTCCTGCTTGCCCACAATTGACAATATTCGACTGTTTTCCTCTCGTCGGCGGACCTTCAGTGTCAAACAAATTTTCATGGTTTACATTTTTCTTTTTTAAAAAAAATTCCAAAACACTTATGTGAGTGGACAACGAGTTGTCCAATTTCGGGTAAATTTTCGGGTTGTCGTCCTCGAGTCCATTTGATCAATCTGTACATGAATACGATAATGGGGGAAGGGGAAGAAGTGGGGGAGGAGGTCCCGGAGCATGTCCAAGAATTGTTGCGCATTCATGGAACTTATCCAGGACTAGTGTGGCGTATTTGCGGACTTCATTGTTGAGTGGATCCAGATGCTAATTTTACTGCTGTGATAAACCTGGCAATGTGGATTTCGCATTTCGAAGTTTCGCTTCAATAACACATCAAGTTTACAAGAAGGGCCTGTGTCGGACCCATCCAGGGTATCTTCCTAGTCCGGGAATCTTCTGAAACACGGTCTTTTCAGCACACTAGCATCGATTTCAACATCAAAGTGCGAGAGGGGGGGAGTGAGTGTATTGGCGAACTTAGGTGGACGGGATTTCGTTTCATATTTTAAATCCCCTCAAGTTTTTTTATTCCACAAAGTTTCAGTTCTTTCCGCTTCAGCGACCTTGACATCCCGTAGACTAATAGCGAATCCATCCATCCATTTCAATTACCACCATTGTCCGCAGGCTCTTTTTGTTGGTCATTTGAGAAGTACATGTATTCGACAACTGCGAAGATTATTGGTACCAATAATGGATGTCAAGCGGGAAAACTACTCTGAGAAAGCTGTGCCTTGATTTATGTTCTGAATGCGTGAATATATTAGACGCTCCCTGTATGGTTTTCAGAAACAC